GCTGCCTGCCTTTTCTCTGAACTAAAATAACCCCATACGCTGCCATCTTTCTTCATAGGCAAGTCGCTCCATCTCCTTGATCGTTTTCGTGTCCCTGTTCTGAGCCTTCTCCTTGTGTCTCTAAACAGAAAAACAACAACATGTGACTAATCAAGCCATAGGAAAGTCAGTCCTAATAGGAAGTCTCTTAATCCATCTGTTGATATAGGGCCTGTCTTGCACAGCTACTATAGTAGATATACTGCTTCAAAAGCAACCCTTTGTGGTAGTGTTAGCCTAGGTCAGTGTGTCTTGCTGTTAACCAGAAAGTTGGTGGTTTGAGTCCATCCAGGGACGGCTGTCAGCAGGATTCCTGTATGCACAGGGTTGGATGACCCTGGAGTTCCCTTCTAACTCTACAATTCTGTGATTCTATGCTTGGTTCTGAGCCTGTTCAGAACTGTTTCCCTGAAGGCTGGAAAACCAACAGGGAGTATTTCCTACTTTGTGGAGCTGTGTGTGTGTGTGTGTGTGTGTGTGTGTGTGTTTAGTTCCGTATTTGTTTTGTGTTCTTGTTTTGTGCAAGCAAGCAACTGGGAGTCTCTTTCTATAACAAACATCTATTTTTTTTTTTTTTTACTTAAGCATTCTTCTTCTTCTTCTTCTTCTTCTTCTTCTTCTTCTTCTTCTTCTTCTTCTTCTTCTTCTTCTTCTTCTTCTTCTTCCTTGGAGGATTGGGAGGAGAAGTAGTGAATGGCTTATGTATGCTTTTGCTATGAACTCTGTTTTAACCCTTTCCATACCTTAAAAGCTGCAGTAGCTACTGAGCGATGCAGGGCAGGTTAGGTAGACCTACGAGCATTTCCAGAAAATGTGTGTGGATCTGTTTCCAGCAAACCCTTCCACTAACAAGGGAGTGCGCAGGAATGGAGGAAACGGCTGTCACTATTTTTCTAGCTTGCTCTTTTGTAAGTTTGTCAGTGAATTGTAAAAATGAAACGTTTGGGTGTTGTCCCTTTCTGGATACAACTTTTCTTCTTCAACCCTGGAAGATGCTCTTCCAAATTTTGGACATAACAGAGATTGATTATGAAGTGGTGTGATTAACTCTATACCCTGCTCCTTAAGCCTCTCCCTTACCACCCTGTGGTGGGAAACTAAACATATCCAACTTCTGGTAACTTAGCATGCCCACTTTTTTTTTGGCATAAGGTTAATTGAATTCATGTATATGTACGGTAAGGGGGTGGTGTGTGTGTGTGTGTGTGTGTGTGTGTGTGTCTGGAATTATTTGTTATATTATTTCCTGTATTATAATTTCAAGGCTATGCCATTCAAGCTGCAAATTCTTTTGGGACTAACGCAATTTGCAAAGTATGCATCACCTTGGTGGATTTGAGGAACGCTTTGACTGGCTGACTATGAAGCTCACAAGAAAGAACTATAATTTTGCCTTTGGCCTCAGAGGAACTGTTCCATTGTTCATGTGTTAAACCAATTACCTATGCATTTAGCTCTTTTGGGGCAAATGCTTTGTTTTGTATAATTATGGTTCCAATGAAAGAAAATATGTTCGCTGTTACTTGTAAAAGACCTCCATAGGCAGAGGTTACATTTCAGCTTCTGGTTATTTTTCCTGGGTTTTTTTTGCCATTTGTGGTGGGTAAAAAGGTAAAGGTAAAGGGAGCCCTGACAGTTAAGTCCAGTCACGAACGACTCTGGGGTTGTGGCATTCATCTTGCTTTACTGGCCAAGGGAGCCAGCGTTTGTCTGCAGACAGCTTCCGGGTTATGTGGCCAGCATGACTAAGCCGCTTCTGGAGAACCAGAGCAGTGCATGGAAACGCTGTTTACCTTCCCGCTGGAGCGGTACCTATTTATCTACTTGCACTGGTGTGCTTTCGAACTGCTAGGTTAGCAGGAGCAGGGACTGAACAACGGGAACTCACCTTGTCGTGGGGATTCGAACCGCCGACCTTCTGATTGGTAAGCCCTAGGCTCTGTGGTTTATACCACAGCGCCACCAGCGTCCCTCATTTGCAGTGGGTACTGGGAGGAAATTAGTTGAATGCCATGGCATGTGGGGCTCAAGGCAACCTGCAAAGGTGTGCCTACCTTCAGCCATTGTGCCATATCTCAGGATGTAGCACATTCTGCAGCCATTGAAAGGTTGATGGTGGCTTGTGGCTAGAAGCTTGTGCCTAGCAGTTGCAATATCTTTGCAACCATAGAACCATGACCATAACCTCTAAGGTCCTGTGAAGCACAGCAGAACCATTCATAGTATTTGTCCAGGCCTTGGAAGATGTAATTATCAGCCTTTTAACTCTTTCTTCCCCCCTTCCTCCTCCTCCTCCATTTTAAAGGACTTGCTGGCTTTCCTGCCCTTGTGTGTCTCAAACTCGTGCCAACTGCATTTGGGTTTCCCCAGAGGTGGCTTTCTGCATGGGGTGGAGCAGCTGCATTGCTAGCTTCCTGGCCACACTTGTCACCTGCCCTGCTTCACACCTTCCTTGAATGTTTTTGCCTGGCTGGTTTTTGCCCTTGAATTCTCATCATGTTTCCTGTTTGCCTGCATGGAGGATAGAGAGGGATGTATGTGTGAGAGTGTGTGTGATGAAATGATCCTTCTATACAAAGGCAAAATTTACATTTATTGTTTTGCTTACTTTTGCCTCTGGTTCTGCCCACCACTAATATGTGGCCTCCAGAAGGTTGCACAGAAGGAAATGTGCCCCCCCCCCCCGGCTGAAAAAGATTCATTAGCGCTGCCCTAGCTATTCTCCAAAGTTTTTATGGCCAATTTATCCTGTATTTTACTCTGTGAACCACCCTGAGATCTTATGATGTAGGGCGGTATATAAATACAATAAACAAGCAAACAAATATGCCTGTGAGTGAAAACGCAACGCTTTTAATGAAGACCCAGCAACTGAGAGCAATCAAATCATGCATTTCTCCTTGAAGAAGTTACTGAGTTTTTCTGCATCTCATTGGTGTAGTCTCCAACTGTAATGTTAGCAGCCAAGGAACTTATCAGTGCGTTAGGTGACTGTGGTAGCACTTTCTTTAACACAGAGCTAAAAATAAAAGAAGTTTCTCCCTAAGGGAGCAACACCCCCCCTCCCCGAAGAATTTTACAATGCTAATTTCCTTTTTGCAGCCTTTCTTTGTTGTTAGTGCTGTGAATATGCATCGGTCTCTTAGCATCTGAAGAGAGACTAAGCTCTTGAATATACAAATAGCCCCGCTGCTGGGTGAAGATCAGATCTCCTGGCGATTCTGCATTGCCCTATATTAGCTTCTCAAGATGGTGTGAAATAAAACCCTGTTCAGTGAATGTGTGTTTGGTGGGGGAAGGAGACAGAGATGACAGGGAGCCTCTTATACTCTAGAACAGGGGTGGCCAACTCCCAAGAGACTGCGATCTACTCACAGAGTTAAAAACTGGCAGTGATCTACCCCCTTTTTTGGGGTTCAGGTCAAAGTGTTGAGCTTTTCTTAGGGGAGCCAAAGATGTTGAGCTTCTTTGGGGGAATCCAGTGATCTACCAGTGATCTACCACAGACGTCCAGTGATCTGCTGGTAGATCACGACCTACCTGTTAGACATGCCTGCTCTAGAACAACTCAGGACTCCAGAATGTGTGGGGTGGAACCCCAAGTACAGGAGTCTTCCAACTTGAGAAGAGTTTCCTCCAAGTGATGTAGGGCAGTTGGAACAGCAATGAGGGGCAGCGCCAGTGTTATTTTTCTATATGTCATGAATCCTGAGGATCTCTCAGTGTGGCATATAGACTGATTGAGGGTTAAATTTTGACTAAGACCTGGATTCGAATTCTCGCTCAACCACGAAGCAAACTGGGTGAACTTAGGCTATTCACTTTCTTTTAGTCTAAAATACCTTGCTATGAGTTTTAGTTGGTGGATAGAAACTTGATGAATGTAGAAAGCATATGGGATTCTCTAAAAGTGGCAATGGACAAAATGACCCAGATATTGTAACAGATCTGCCATGTGCAGATAGATAAGCTGAACCAACACTTTGCCATGGGCTTCACTAAAGGAAAGAACAGATCACTCTGCTGTTACCTTTTGCCCAATTTCTTTTTTTACCACCTGCAGACTCCAAGTCAAAGTTGTCTGAAGACGAGGATTAATTTAATGGCTGCTTTCCTTAGTCTTGCGCTGCTACTGATGAAACCTGATCGTGCTGCTTCACATTCTTGTTCCTCACCTGCTCCTGGGAAGGAAACTTAATTCTTTCAAAGAAAGACAGACAAATTAATAAATGAGGAAAAGGAGCCTTACTCCGCACAGCCATTATTCCCCTCCCAGATTTGTTTATGTTTCACAGTTTATTCCATCAAGATCTGGTTTCGGGTGCCCAGCATGAACTCAGTCTGGCTTCCTGCTAGAATGCTACCTAGGCTCTTGTAAGATGCAAAGAGTTTTTGAACAGATTTACCCAAGCATGGGTTTTTGTGCTGGATTTCTCGAGGAACAACTCTCCCTCATTCAGCCTGATCAATTAAACCAGACGGAAGCTTGCATACCATTTCCAACAATTTATTCAGGATGCAACAGCGATTTTGCACAACCAGTTTTGCGCAACCAGTTCCACAGTTGTTCAGTGAGGGAGCCAATCTACCGTATGCATTCATTCCATTGCACAAATGGATTGGCCCACTCCACGAGCAATGAATGGGGATTCTGCATGCGCAGTAGCTAAGAATGCAAGAAGGGCTTGCTGCTTCTAGTCCAGTATCCTGTTCTCACAGTGGTCAAACAAATATCCGTGAGAAGCATGCAGGCAGAACCCTTATTGCCACAGCACTGACCCCTTCACAGCAACTGGTATTCAGAAGCATATTGCCTCCAACAGGGGAGATAGCACTGTGGGTGTATTGGAAAAAAGCTTGTGCAAGCACAAGTCTCCCTGCAGCCAATAAGATTGAAACACCAAGAATCCCCTGTGGACTGCATCACAATGGACCTGTCCAATGAAAGACAATCAAGATGGGAAGGAGACCAAGTCCAGTGAGGAATGGTTGAGAGAGTTGGGGACGATCAAGAGGTGATATGATTTGTTGTTGTTTAGTCGTTTAGTCATGTCTGACTCTTTGTGACCCCATGGACCAGAGCACGCCAGGCCCTCCTGTCTTCCACTGCCTCCCGCAGTTTGGTCAAACTCATGCTGGTAGCATTGAGAACACTGTCCAACCATCTCGTCCTGTCGTCCCCTTCTCCTTGTGCCCTCCATCTTTCCCAACATCAGGGTCTTTTCCAGGGAGTCTTCTCTTCTCATGAGGTGGCCAAAGTATTGGAGCCTCAGCTTCACGATCTGTCCTTCCAGTGAGCACTCAGGGCTGATTTCCTTCAGAATGGAGAGGTTTGAACTTCTTGCAGTCCATGGGACTCTCAAGAGTCTCCTCCAGCACCATAATTCAAAAGCATCAATTCTTCGGCAATCAGCCTTCTTTATGGTCCAGCTCTCACTTCCATACATCACTACTGGGAAAGCCATAGCTTTAACTATACGATAGCCATCTTCAAATATCTGTCGCATAGATGATGAAGCACATTTGTTTTCCAGGGCAGGCAGAAAACAATGAGTTCAAATTATAGGAAATGGGATTTCAGCATTGGGAAGAGGTCCTTGCTGGTAACGAGCTTTTGACAGTGAAGACAACTGCATGAGAAGGTGGTTGGCGCTCCTTCATTAAAAGATTTAAGCAGAGCCTGGATAGCCTCCTATCAAAGATGCTGTCACAGTGAATATCCTGCATCAGCAGGGCATTGGACTATATGATATTTGACTAAATGATATTCCAACTCTGTAATTATATGAACTTAATGGGACAACTTTTGAGAAAACATGCTTTATTGCATGTTTTTGGTTTCCGTCATGGCCAATTTTGCATGCTTTAGATGTAAACTGTATTGAAAGTAGAACTGCATACAATCCCAGTAGTTTAGCTTAGCTTAGTTTAGAGAAAAAGTGAGTAAAAGGTGACAAGATAAAAATTTGTAAAATCCTGAGCTGGCAAGGAGAAAGTGAATGCACAACAAAAAGGATGTCTGGAGGGGCTTGAAAAAGGCTCTTGAGAGCTCCCAAATATTGGGAACTGAGCTGGGAATATGCAGCAAGAGGTTCCATGCATCCTAACCAGGACAGGTCCTCATTTTATGTAAAATTCAGAAAGGGCCCTGGAATAATATAGTTTTTATTTTTTCAAGCCCTGTTGGTATATTATGAACCTGACTCATTTCTTTCAGTGGTTTTGCAGCTGTTCTAACTATAATTACTGTCAAAACGGGGAAGTATACCTTGTAATTTTTTTCTTTTTCAGTGGTTCATGGTTATGCTGGAATGCAAAGCAAATGGCTGTGCTGTAGACTTAGTTGATATTTCAAATTAATGAATATTCATGTTGAATATTCGTGTTGAATGAATATTCACAAACAATCCCCGTGGAGTAAGGAATGCTCTCTCTTACTCTCTTTCCACTTTCTTCTTGAACTTACCTGGAGTGGATAAGTAGTAGTATAAGTAAGTATAAGTAGTATAAATACTACCCGACTGAAAATATATAATTTTACTAAAAGCTCATACTCAGAAATTCATAATATTGAAAACTACAGAATGTGAAGTCCTGCTTCCTAGCAGCAACAAGCTACTGGGACCATATGTTTGTAGTATATCCCTCTTCTCATCCAGGAACGATTCAAGGTGCAGGTTATGAAGTCTTATAAACAACTTGGCCCAACATACTTTAGAGTCTAAGTCTTCTAGAGGTGACTCACATGGTACTCAGTGACAGGTGGAGCCAGAGCCAATGATAGATGGAGAATTCCAGTTTTGTCCACATCCTCCTTCCTGCTGAGTTCTACAAAGCCACGGAACATAAGAAGAGCCTGCTGGACCAAGGCCAATGGCCACCCAGATCCCTGTAGGAGAACCTTAAGTAGGAATGGAGCACAACATCACTTTGCCCTCCTGTGATTTCCAGAAACTGGTATTCAGAAGCATTACTGCCTCTTGACTGTGGAGGCAGAGCACATCCAACATTGCTAATAGCCATGGGTAGCTTTATGCTCCATGTGAAATGAAAATGAAATTAAATACTTTATTGTTACTTGTACAACTTGTATACAGTGAGATTACACGAGCACCCTCCCACTCAGCTCTCTTAGTCTTAATTCCCCTCGTTTACTGACGCACACCCACCAAACCCGAAAGTCAGTTGCCCTGTTGTTATCTTTTCATTCAGCAGCCTAACAGCCCACGGATAGAAGCTGTTCTTTACCCTGTTGGTGCGACTAATCATGCTTCTTTATCTTCTGCCCGAGGACAGGAGATCAAGAAAGTGCCGGCCAGGGTGTGAATCATCCCTGAGAATTTTCCTCACTCTCCTGAGGCAACGTTCTTCCTTTGTGCAATCCTCCAAAACCAAGGAGGAAGTGGCTGATAGTCAGGGCCATCCCATGGGCTGGTTGTGAGAAGGTGGGCAAGTGGCTGAGGTTAGACTGAGACTGGTGGCGCACTGTCTCCTTTGCCCTCATGGAGCAACCTTCCCTGGGTGCCCAAGATTCCATTTAGAGACATTTTGTGTCAGCATGTGGAACGGGACTTTTTAATGCATTAGAAAATGCAGCACGGCTCTTTTGAGTCTGCATTCCAGGAATAATTCTGGAAAGTGTGAAATCTCCACTTTGCCTTGTTTTCCACCATTGAAGATTTTTTAACAAAAGGGAATACAAGCCCCAGACAAAAGCCAAGCTGTCAGCTTGCTGGATGTTAAGTGCAAAGAGCCTTTGAGCAGTCAACTTAGCTCCATTTCGGTGCAGTTAATCTTGTGAATTCATGCTCAGGTTTAGCACTCGCTCTTTTGTAGAGACTTGCTTTTGCTATTAAGGCAGGTGAGCCATAGCCAGGCAGCTCATGTTAAGATATACCAAGTTAATGGGAGGCAAACAGTGCTCAGGTGTATCAGTTAGCAGCACTGCTCATTCATGCTAGTTGGCAAAGATAGAGGATCTGGCATGTGGTCCCACAGTGAGTGTTGGAAGTCCGAAGCAGACATTGTGAATCTTCCAAAATGAAGATATGGGACAGTGAATGTTGACAGTCATTCATGCATTGTCAGCATTCACTGATGTTTGTTCCAACAAATGACATTAAGATAATGTGTTCGGGACTGCCAGCATTTGCAAATGAAGGCCAGACCTGTAAATTAGTTACTGTAGCACAGGAGTGGGGAATATCAGGCCTGGGGCCTCAATTCGCCCTGCTGGCCTCTCTGCCTGCCCCTTGGAACTCTTCCCAAGGCCACACCCCCTTCCCAGGCCACACCCCCTCTGACCCGCCCTGCTTTGTACCCTTCCTGAGTGTTATTGCCTAGCTAGAATCTCTCACTGGACTCTGATAATGCCTGTTCCTTGGCCAGATGGAAGATGACTTGAGAATCTGTGTAGAAACTAGTCTGCTGTACGAAGGTAACATTCACATGGTAAGAAATATGGCTCAGAAGCCCAGGGAGATTCCTAAGGGTCAGCTGGAGAGAGCTGGAGAGCTGGAGAGCTGGATTTGCCACCTGGGCCTTAGGATCCCCATACCTGAGTTTACGGGATCAGACAGTGAGACAAGAACAGTTTCCCTCAGGAGGTTGTGGACTCTCCTTCATTTGCACGGGGTGGACTAGATGAGCCTTGGAGCCCCTCCAACCCTGCAATTCTCTGATTCTGTGAACAGGGCTGTATATCATAGCATCATTACAGTAGGCAGCCAAGCACCAAAACATTTTGGAATGTTCCAAATAAACAGTTTCAATAATAAAAACATTACAACATTTTAAATGCACGACTAAACAGACTAAATAATTAAAACACAATTTCAGTTTATATTATGTAGCAGTTGTTAATAACCTAAACCAGAGTCAGATGGAATAAAACTATTAACCGGTCTGGTTTGTGCGCTTTTTGCAGTAGTTTACATGTGTGTAGTGTGGACTTTAAATCTCTGTTATTAGCAAGATATACTTTTTTGGGGAGTGGTGAAGAGTAACGCCAGAGAAATTCCTCTGCTTGGAGAAACTCATGCATTTTCATGAACGTGCCCCAGGTGGCTTCTCACCTTTCTTCCCTCCTCCCCCCTTGCCCCCCCCACCCGAAAGTTGACATTTTGCAGGGAAGTGACATTTGCCACTTGTGAAAACTCCTGTGCATTGCTATGGAAACTAAAAACGAGAAGTGCTGATGATTCCTTGGCCATCAAGGTGCTGGGTCTTCCCTGGCTGCACAGCAAAGTTGATGAGAGTCAAATAAATCTTTGCCTCCAGTTCCCTTGGCATCCGCAGTTGCTTTCTAATGCCAGATCAGAGAAGCAGACAAGCCTGATTCCTCCTCCCTCATCTCTGTTTCAGAAGGAGGTAGCACGCCTGGAGATGGCCGGCCTGAAGAAGAAATGGACAAATTTGTAAATTTTGTTTCAAGTTTGCTTTGCCCCATTGCTGCCTAAGCTTGTATTTTTTTTTTTTTAAGAGCAAGCAGATTTTTGTACATATTTCCTTTTGTGTTCAATATGTAAGAAGCTGCCTTTTAGTAAATCAAATTGTTAATCTGTCTAGTCCGGCACTGTCAATGCTGACTGCAGGGATGGAAGAAGCTGCTAGGTTTGGTTCTCCCTGTTTCTTGTTTTTTCCCGATCTTGAAACCAGTTCCCACATTTTGCAGCAATATGCAATTTCTTACTACTTAAAAAAAAAAAAAAACTTTGTGAAAATTCACCAGCATTTTAGTGTGAGGTTCTCCTAATAAACACATTTTTATATGCACTTTTGATTAACGTACACATTTTTGCAAGCAATTTCCCCTAATATAATGCATTTGTTTGTGTTATTTTCACCAATATATTCATTTGCATGCACACTTTTCCCTAATAGGTGCATTTTTGTGAACATTTTTTGGTCAGCGAACTGCACAACAAAATTCAGATAAGTGACAAATTTCGAAGGCCAGTTGTGTTTCAGATCGCCTATTGTTTGGGAAAGTGCAACTAGATCCGGGTGATGGTGGTTCAGGAGAGGGCATTCTCTGTGGCAGCTACTGAGCTGCAGAACTCTCACCCCATAGAGCTGCATCTTCCTTCTTCACCATACGAATGCTGAAGATGCACGTCTTTACCACAGCCTCTGACCCCTGAGATGTACATCTTTAGGTCCCACCCTGTTTTTGCGATTGCATTCTTTGCTATTTATAAAATGGGTTTTAATCATGCATTTTAAATTGTTGCAAACCACCCTGGGACCTTGGGCGAATGGTGGCCAATAAAGTTAAAATATTTATCATCATTAGCCACAACAACAGTGATAATGTCCCTTGTGTGCCTGGATAGAGGAGGAAGGATAGCTTTTGCATAGCTAGAATGTAGCCCACTGTCCCACGGCAAGAGTCACTACCCGGCCCATTTTAATTTTTATTCTTCTTCTGGTTGGCCCACCCACCCCTGGCGTATGCCCTGCCAAAGGTTCCCCATCAGGGAATGAGACCCCCAGGCTGAAAAAAGATTCCACATCTCTGTGCTGGGGACCAAATCAAAGAAGCTCTGCAGGCAATCCACGTACTCCACTGCTGAGATGTGAACCTTTCCAGCAGTGCAGATGCTGAGCTCAGAATGTCCCTTTGGTCTGACTCAGCATGTCAGTTCCTCTGGTTTTATATCCATTGTGTGTCCTGTTGTGGCAGCATCAGAAATCCAGAGAATTAAGGAGCTGCGCTCATGGGTTCAGCTAATGGAAATTCTACTATTCTGTGGAGTCAATTATATAACATGATAGATAATCCATTGCCTCGGTGTCAGAGGCGTGTAATATTCTTAAGATTTCCCGGTTTAACAATTGTGTTTAGCTTGTAATTAAAAACCAATAGGGAACCAATTCTGATAGCTCCTTAGTTGGGGGAAGCGCTGTTTTATAATTGCACCGTGCAATTATATTGACACACTAATTTAGTTATGATGAAGTAGGATGCGATTTGTTGTACAGTGTGAAGGCAGGAAGGGGGGCAGCGGAGGGAGTAATGGCTTTGGTAAGTTCACCTCGAAGGAATAGGAAATTGAAAGTGCTGATACCATACCCAGATTGCTGGAAGAGAATCCCGCTAACAAAGACACAATTACGATTGCACCGTCAGTTTTCCTTCCCACCAGCACTTCTGAGTGAAAAGCTGCAGCGCAGCCCATAATTCTAGACAATCACTGCTAAAAATAACCCTCAGCCCTGCTGGTTACAGCAGCTCCACAATATGCAAATACCGGGGCTCGTGCTGTGACTGTGAGGTGAACATTTTTAGCGCACGGCAAATATTATCCTCCTCGGCTGTCAGTATCAAAGCGTGGGTCTTGCAGGCTGCTTGAGAGCAGTGCCTACTCACAGGGTTAGGACCCTTGAGGTGCCTATAAGTCCCTGCAGAGATCTGGAGGCATGCAGGCTTCAAATCCTTAGACAGATGGACTGGTGCTGTGGTCAGGGTAGGAGTTTGGGGGAGATGAAACAAAATGAACATTTCGAAATGAAAACAAATGGGAAAGCAAAGTGCCTCACACCCCTCTTTCCCACCCCTATTGAGACCGGATGAAAGAGACCTTGAAAGCTGGGTACAAATGGCACCATAAAATTCCCCACCCTGTTGGTGGACAGAAATTTCACCAGATTTCTTTGCGGAGAGGATGAATTATCCAACAGTGTCTTGGGTGGCGGAGCTCACCATTAGCAGAGAAAGTAGCAGCGCATATTGTTTCTTAGGGTGATTTATCTTTTGCTTCTGCAGCTGCATATGAAAGGAATGGACTGTAGCTCAATGTCAGAGTATCTGTTTTGCATGCAGAAGGTTGCTGGTTCAATCCCCAGCTCCTCCAGGTAAGTCTGGGAATGCTTGCTTCCAGAAACCAGTCAGCTGCAGACCATATTGACAGATGGACCAATAGCTGGTATATGGCAGCTCCCTTGGTTGCTGTGATTATCCTCCAGCTTTGAGCCTGGCAAACTGTCGTTAGAGAAGTGCTGCAACTCCTGTTGCAGTACTGAAGCACAGGAGAGGGGGGATGTCTAAGATCACTGAACGAGTGTGGTGTAGTGGTTAAGAGCGGTAGTCTCATAATCTGGGGAACCGGGTTCGCGTCTCCGCTCCTCCACATGCAGCTGCTGGGTGACCTTGGGCTAGTCACACTTCTTTGAAGTCTCTCAGCCCCACTCACCTCACAGAGTGTTTGCTGTGGGGGAGGAAGAGAAAGGAGATTGTTAGCCGCTTTGAGACTCCTTAAAGGTAAAGGGACCCCTGAACCATAGGTCCAGTTGTGGATGACTCTGGGGTTGTGGCGCTCATCTCACTTTATTGGCCGAGGGAGCCGGCGTACAGCTTCCGGGTCATGTGGCCAGCAGCTCATGGAAACACCGTTTACCTTCCCACCGGAGTGGTACCTATTTATCTACTTGCACTTTGACATGCTTTCGAACTGCTAGGTGGGCAGGAGCAGGGACCGAGCAACGGGAGCTCACCCCGTCACAGGGATTCGAACCACGACCTTCCGATCAGAAAGCCCTGGGCTTTGTGGTTTAACCCGCAGCGCCACCCGCGTCCCTTTGAGACTCCTTAGGGTAGTGATAAAACGGGATATCAAATCCAAACTCTTCTCTCTTCTTCATCTTCTTCTTGGTGAGATGTTAGCCACAGTGCACTACATAGTTTCCTGAAAACTTGCTGCCGGCATTTTTCTTTTTTTAAAAAAACCATAGCTGGTTCAGATGACTGCATTGCCTCACTTGCTCTATCCTTGTTAATGAAAAAGGGATCTTAAAAGCCCTGAAAAGGCTGGGATCATAGAATCATAGAATTGTGGAGTTGGAAGTCAGACCCCTGCAATGCAGGAATCTGCAGCTATCCATACAGGATTTGAACCTGCAACCTCAGGATCAACAGCACCATGCTCTAACCAGCTGAGATATACATGAATAGAGGGAGGGACACAACTACTGAATTCATGAATTTAGTGATCTACCCCCTTACCCTTAATTCTCCTTGCCACTGTTTGCTTCCAAGCCACTGACTAGGTGTGTCGAGAGAGGACCAAGATGGACCATTTTACCATCTAGCTCAGTATTGTCTACACTGACTGGCAGAAGCTCTCCAGGGTTTCAAACGAGACCAGTCCTACCTGGAGATGCTGGGAATTGAACCTGGAACCTTCTGCCTGCAAGGCAGCTGCCCCTCCACTGAGCTCGTCCTTCCCTAAACCCCAGCTGACAAACCAGCCCTAACATGCATGACTGAAGTGCTCTGTTTGGTGTCTCTCAAACATGACATTCTCTCACTAAATCTTTTTTACTGCCATGCTTCTTTCCTGAAATGCAATACTTGGAAGTAAACATTTTTCTACCTTTCCTACTTCTTTCTGATGAGCCCTACCTGGAGATGCCAGAGACTGAATGTGGGACCTGTTGAATGCAAAGCAGATTGTTTACCATTGAGCTATAGTTTCCCTCAGAGGGTTGCAGATAATATAATAATAATAATAATAATAATAATAATGGACGTGGGTGTCGCTGTGGGTAAAACCTCAGCGCCTAGGACTTGCCGATCGCATGGTCGGCGGTTCGAATCCCCGCGGCGGGGTGAGCTCCCGTTGTTCGGTCCCAGCTCCTGCCCACCTAGCAGTTCGAAAGCACCCCTAAGTGCAAGTAGATAAATAGGTACCGCTTTATAACGGGAAGGTAAACGGCGTTTCCGTGTGCTGCGCTGGCTCACCAGAGCAGCTTCGTCACGCTGGCCACGTGACCCGGACGTGTCTTCGGACAGCGCTGGCCCCTGGCCTCTTAAGCGAGATGGGCGCACAACCCCAGAGTCGGTCACGACTGGCCCGTACTGGCAGGGGTACCTTTACCTTTACAATAATAATAATAATAATAATAATAATAATAATAATAATATTTTTTTATTTATACCCCGCCCTCCCCAGCCAAGGCCGGGCTCAGGGCGGCTAACAAGCAATAATAAAAATAAGTTGAATGAATACAACTTAAAAACAATATTAAATACAACATTAAAATATTGAAACATTAAAATATTAAAATGTAGCCTCATCGCAGGAGGAGAAAAGAAAAGAAAAGAAAGAGGGGGAGGGAATCAAATTGGCTCCAAGCCAAAGGCCAGGTGGAACAACTCTGTCTTACAGGCTCTGCGGAAAGAAATCAGATCCTGCAGGGCCCTGGTCTCATGAGACAGAGCGTTCCACCAGGCCGGAGCCAGTGCTGACAAGGCCCTGGCTCTGGTTGAAGCTAAACTAACTTCCTTAGGGCCCGGGACCTCTAGCGTGCTGCTATTTATGGACCTTGAGGGTCTCCCTGGGGCATACCGGGAGAGGCGGTCCCGTAGGTACGAGGGTCCTAGGCCGTGAAGGGCTTTAAAGGTCAAAACCAGCACCTTAAATCTGACCCTGTACTCCACCGGGAGCCAGTGCAGCTGGAAAAGCACTGGGTGAATATGCTTCCATGGCAGAGGCCCCGTGAGGAGCCTCGCTGCAGCATTCTGCACCCGCTGGAGTTTCTGGGACAGTGTAGAGCAAATTACAGTAGTCAAGCCTGGAGGTGACTGTCGCATGGATCACTGTGGTCAGGTCGGGGCGGGAAAGGTAAGGGATATAGACAGTGGATACAAGTGAGAGACATGGCCTTTTTTTGGAGAAGGAGGTTTGTATCTGAGAAATGCACCTACTACCACAGAGACCTATCGCCACGGTTTAATCTGGAAGATCAATTGGTTGGCTTGCGTCTTGCCTCTGCTCTGCTCCACTTGGAGTGTTAGCCCACCCCAGGAACAAATTGTCGAGGGCATCCAGTTCAGCTGAGATGTCAGCTAAGATGTTCGCTCTCCAGTCCGATGAATTAGAAACAGCTGGCACTTTCCTGTTTACTCCCTCCTGCTTCCTCCTGCAGATTCCCAAAGAAAAACAACTGGGGCTTGGCAGGAAAGGAAAGCACTTTCAATTATTATTTTTGGAAATAATGGCAGGAATCGCGGGAAAGTGACAGAGTAGTTCTGTTTGCAAGAAGAATCGGCAGGCAGAGGGAGAAATCTGTAAACTTCAGTTCCTCATTTTCCCTATCTTAAATCCAATTCTCCATGTTTCTGCAGAAAACTGTGATTTTCCTCATGAAAAGTTGTCATCTTTTCAGTGCAAATGTCTCTTAACATGCACATTTTTGTATACACTTTTGACTAATGTACGCACTTACTTCTATTTTCACGAATGTTTGCATTTTTATCTACAGTGTTCACGGCACACTGATATATACAGAGAACTTCCCCCTCCCTGGATTTTACCATGGGATTTTACCCTTGGTCCCTGCTCCAAGGGATTTACAATCTAAGCACAAGTGGCCAACCTTTTAGAGCCCATGAACATATTTTCAAACTGGCAAAACTGTTCTATTGGATACAAAAAGGAAGCTTCTTTCAAACCCCTTTTCAGCTAGAGGGAGGTAGCCTGTGGGTACCAGAGAAGGCTTCTGTGGGTGCCTTGTTGGGAACGCCAACACAAGTAGACACAATGGAGACTTAAGAGAAAGTGGAGGAAATCAAGCCAATGATAAACAGGTGAAGAAGATGGGCGCATGCACTTAGTTTTGGTTTCAGTAGGGTAGTCTTCCCCAACCTATGAGCAATGTCAGATGTTGCTTGAACCCAGCCATGAACAAAGACAGTGATTTGACCACGTCAACAGATCCTTCTACACAATCCCATAAAACCACAGACCTGGAGGAGACCCAAAGATCTAGCCCAAAATCCTACAACACAACTTAGTCCCTTTGTGGAGATAAATTTGACATGTCTGAGACAATGTGAAACTCAAGACACTTTCTGGGTGCATGGGGTTTGCATTTGGGTGCAGGATAGCCTTCCGCAACCTGGTGCCCTGCAGAGGTTATGGATTGCAACTCCCAGCAGGAGTATTCAAACTTGCCCCCATGAAGTCTGAAATTGTACAGGCCAGCAAAAGCTACACATCTTGATTTTCCTGACTGTATGTATGTGTGTGTGTCTCATTTCCAAGACGCGACATGCCTCTGTATTTCATCCAGTGAGCTATGCACTTGTGACTCTGCTGGCAAAGAGGAAAACAAAGGAGCGTGGAGATTGTGGGCTTGATTGCTATTTGTGCCTTCTTGTGTTTTTTTTCCTTTTCTTCTAAAATATGTCCCGAAGTGACTTTTCCAAGATCACACAAGAAGTCTTTGGCAGAGAACCGAAATAAAATCACTGTCTTTCTTTCTGAGCCTTTCACATTTCATTTACTGCCACTGCCGTGATATACCCCATTTGGCTTCTATCACTGTCTGTCAGGAATATTTGGCTTTTTAAAAGTCTGTGTTTGCTGTGAATAAAAAAGAATCTGTGGAAAGTAAAAGGAAAAAACACACAGAGACAGATAGGAAAAGAGGGTGTGTGTGTGTGTGTTGTTGATTCCCGACAAGTAGAAATACGGATGGTTCTTTCCAAATATTGTGTTAAAAAGCAGAAAAACAACAAGTCCCAAACTGCCTTACTGTTGGGTAAGGAAGCTGTTAGCTTTGACATATTTAGTTTCAGAGAAAGGCACAGTCTCTCTTGCACATTAATCTGTCCCAGGCTCACAGAGATTTCATGCTGCTTACAGTGAGTGCACCACTATTTAGTTCTCTTTCCTTCTTTTTTAAATTCATGCATTTTGGAAGAACTTTTAACAGAGGCCTTTAAATAAAGGAAAAGGAAATAAATGATGACAGGGATACTGATCTTTAGCTTTAAATTTGCTTGCAAGAGATCAAGGAAAAATATTCTCAAATAAAGGCCTCAGATGAATTTTTGGATCTCTGCAAAGACTATCTGAGAGTCTTCAAATTATTAAATTGGCATTATTATTATTATTATTATTATTATTATTATTATTATAGACCCTGGGGTCAAAATGCAACACAAAACAAAGTGCAATGAAACCCATTGACTGCAATGAGCAGAAGCATCTCTAGCATTGTGTGGGATTGTGGTCTTTAACTTTGGACACGAGAGCTCTGCGCATGAGCTTGTATTACAGCTGTCATAAGTGAGGCAAATGCTGCTAGGACTGTAGCCCTAAGCACATGCACTTGGAAAGGCATCTGGCTGAAACAAGCCAGTGTAGCAGGAGTGAGCGTGGGGTCAGGCTGTAGGTAAACGTTTATTTTGGTTTGAGCAAGACTGCAAGACACTTGACAAGAAAAGCAGGTGAATGCATAGCCGCAGGCTGCTGCCTCCTCTCTTGCTCTGACAAAAATAAGTAGGTGGTCAGGGAGACGATTCACTGCAGGTTAAACATGAAACATGAAATGAGAACTTTAATTGGAAACAAATTTCCTACCTGAAAGGGAAATGGATGTTGCATGTGTGTAAACATAGGCAGAAAGTTGACTTCTGAGGAGTCAAACCTGCTTGTTGCAAAGAAAGAGAAAGGTGATGTCTAGGAGACCTGTGACCTCAAAGGCCCTATTCCTGACACTGCACACCTTCCATGGAACCATAGAGAAGGAATCCTGAGGGTCATCTAGTCCAACCCCCGGCAATGCAGGAATTTTTTGCCCAACTTGAACCCATGACCCTGAGATTAAGCATCTCATGCTCAAGTGGCACACTAAAATGATTAACAGAAGAGGGGCACTGAAATATGCTTCCTTTTCAGGGGTAAACAGCCCCTAAGGTGGCTGTAGGTTGTCAGGCACCATATTCCTCAGCCCCTCATCTCTCCTGCAGAAATACAGACATAAAACATTGGATTATTTTCCAGGGCTGATGTGAGCTGTACTCTCTCATTCACAACCCCCTCTTGCACCTGGGGATAGCAACTCTGATAAACTTTATTTGCATTTGCAGATTAGCTTTAAAAAAATCTCCCTAGAAGACGTTGGAGGAGGAGGAGGAGGAGGAGAAGAAGAAGAAGAAGAAGAAGAAGAAGAAGAGCACTGACTGCTGTTGTGCTTGGGCCCTGCTTGCAGGCTTCCCACGGGCATCTGGTAGACATTGTGAGAATAGGATGCTGGACTAGATGGGCCTTTAGACTTGGATCTGGGAAACCAGAGTTCTAATTCCTACTAAGCCATAAAGCTCACTGGGTGACCTGGGGTCAGTCACTGCCTGTCAGCCTAACCTAACTCACAGGGTTGTTGTGGGGATTAAAATGAGCAGCAGGAGAATGCATGAGCTTCTTTCTTTGCTGTTTTCTTTTATTTCTGGGTGGACATGCTACTGTCCAACCGCACTAAAATGAAACCCTAGATATCTCCAGTGTTTTCAGCACATTTTTCATGATTGTATTTATTTGTTTATTACATTTATATCCCCCCACAGGTGCTCTATGTGGCTTTCCCTTCTCCAGAAAACAGGTGTGTTGCTTTCCTTTTCCATTTGTCCCCATGGGCTACTATTACATACTGAACACTGTGAATTGTCTCCTTAGCTAAAAGCACTAAGAAGAATAGTGCCTGCATGTTTTGCCTCCAGTCTTTGGTTCCATAAGGGCTGGCGACTTCTTTCTTCCTTCCTTCCTTCCTTCCTTCCTTCCTTCCTTCCTTCCTTCCTCCCTTCCTCCCTTCCTTCCTTTCTTTCTTTCTTTCTTTCTTTCTTTCTTTCTTTCTTTCTTTCTTTCTTTTTCTTAAAAAAGATACCTGGGAATCCTGACTAGCAGAAGAGCAACCTATGCAGCATGGGGTCTCGAGCAATAACTCCAACTGAACCATCATAATCCATCCTTGCTCATTAATCATCCCCTGACATCCATGCATTTACGGAACAGAGAAGCTACAGTCATGGAGGATCTAAATGTGATTTGGTATGCAGGTGAACTAGAGTTCTGATCATGGGGAAAGGCTTTATGCACACATTTTTGGGTTAAGATATGAACAAGACCATGTTGGATCTCCATCCATCTGCCTACATGCCCAAAAACACATATGGGAGAGGCAATGGCAGGGAAAGTGGGGAAATCCGGGATGCAGTGGTTAAGGCCAGATATGAACTCCAGGGAGCTGGCACTCCAGCTCTGTGGTGTCCTATTTTGCTTGAAAACAGATCATTAGCTATTGTTATGCCAACCTCCTCGCAGTCCCAAGGACTGTCAGAACTCCAGGGCCTCTCTCTTTTTCAGAGACCACCTGGTGCTCTCCTTGCTCTCACGAGCCCGGACGCTCTTGTCATCACCAATCCCTCCTAATTATATGTATTATTTTCTCAGTTAGGTTTACACTCCCACAACTCTTCTGTAGTGTAGATTCCCTGCCTAGTAAAATCCTGTCTCAACTCTTTCAAGGTCGCCACGGGAGGTTTTCTGCCTGAAGACCTTCATCACAAGCTCCTGCTGCTTCTGTTCCTCCCCTCCTGGGATAAAACTCCTCGCTACCTTTCCCCTTTGTCGTTCTGTGCCTCACTCTGCACGCTCCTTTAGTTTCTCTCACACTTCTCCCTGTCTTCTCCCCTGTCTCTGTCTACACTGCCCTGCTACGGTTCCAGTCTTTTTCTCCGTGTCCAACTCTTCCACCTCCACATTTCTGACTCATCTCGACACTATCTGCCTTCTCTTGCTAGGTTTGGAACTCTTCTGAGACGTCACTTCATCCTCTGGCTGTTTATGTTCCTTAGTTGTGTCATCAGCATGGCGCTCCCTCCTCAAATCAGGTAGTCAATCTCATGTGCAGCTGTGGAGCTGGCTCCTGGCAGCTGTGTTTCTATCAGACGCTTTCCCAAAGGTGTGAAAGCTTCCAACTGCCTTTATAGCAACCTTTGCCACCTGGTGCCCTCCAGATGTTTTGGACTGTAAGTTCTATCAACTTCCAACCAGCCAGCATGTCCAAAGAAGTCCAAAAGGTCACCAGGCTGGTGAAGTCTGCTTCACAAACATATGGGCAGGTTTGGGCCCTCTCATACCCTCCAGCATTTCTCCAATGAAAATAGGGATGTCCTGAGGAAAAGTGGGACATTCCAGGCTCAAATCAGAAATGGAGACGGCTTCTGTAAAACCAGAACTGTCTCTGGAAAATAGGGACACTTGGAGGAGAAAATCTGAGATCAAGAGGAGCCACTTAAAGAAACAAATACACAAGTTAACACAGAAGGACTTGTTTAAGGACCCATAGTATCAAAAGTCAGGAGCATGCTCTCCAACATTTCTCCAACGAAAATAGGGATGTCCCGTTCCATAACGTTGATTTTACTAACATTTACAAAACACAAGCCCCCAAACCTCCTGGTCCAGTCTCCTCTATTGTACACTTTGGGCTTGAGAGATGCCTCCTCCCTGTGCTGTTTTGATCTGTGTTTCCAAGATGAATATTGTAACACAGTGACATTCACACCCTGTGCTTGAAGGTATTCAAATCGCAGCTGAGATTTCAGCGCTCTGGTGCATCTTGGCTTGGCGAGTGATTTCTCGTCGTTTGGAAAGGGAGGCCTGAGGTTCATTCTCAGCTTATCACTGAGCTCAGAGATGATACATTGGGATTTAATGCATTTGCATAATGAGTCCTCTTGTTTTCTATCGCTTGTCTTTGATGGCATGCAGCTGTAGATTTTAAGCAACCATTTCCCCCGCTGCAGCCCACCCTGGCTCAGTTGCACTGCTGGGGTTCAATGGCCACTAGCTCTTTTCTGTGCAATATTTTTGTGGTGGCTGGATTTGTTTGCAAATCACCTGAAGGGTTTCTTTTAAATTAGCAACAGAACAAGTATCATTGCTGGCTGTTCAAGTTGTCCTTTGTGCATGTATTGGACAAAGACCATGTTCCTAAATCTACACTGCATTAAATCCTGCATTGGGTTGCTTCACATATTACTTTGTACACCAGTCTTCCGCAGCTTCATGCTTTTAATCAGTGATTGCCAACCTGGTGCCCATGGGTCACCAGTGTGCCTGGTAATACCGCCTGTGACACTGGTGAAAAGTCTTGGTGAAAATCTCCTCAAAAATCCACAATGCATGAGAGGTTCTTTCATCTTCTTCGTCCTCAGTTCCTGTTTGCCCTTGCTCATCCTCTTCTACACTAAACAAACATGGCCCTCTCTACTAATTGTATTTCTATGGTCTGAGTATCGGCCTATCTGCAATACAGTTCTTTGGGATTAGCCCCTTCTCTAGCAAGAATATGCATTTGTTAGGTTTGGCTGCTAATCTCCCACAATTCTCTCCTGCATCTGGATGCCAGGGAACTAGAAGTTAGTAGATGGAGCTTCTGCTGTGGTGGTGCTGCAGTGATGAGAGAAGCCATAGCCATTGAATGTTTCCATGTTAATCAGCTCTTAAAATCATAGAACTGAAGTCAATCTAGTCAATCTAGTCCAGCTCCCTGCTTGATGCAGGGAGTCTGAAGCTAGAACATGGATGGTTGCCATGCTTGAAGATCTCCAGTGATGGAGAGTCCACCACCTCTCTAGGTCCTTGGTTCCATTGTCAAACTGCTCTTGCTGTGGGGACATTTTACCTAATGTCCAACTAAAATGAAGACAGGGAATCTGTGGCCAGATAACATTGTACTACAGCTCCCATATTCCCTGATGACTGACCATGCATGCTGGTGCTGATGGGAACTGTAGTCTAACAAAGTCTGGAGGTCCACAGGTACAAAAATCTACCCTTTGTAAAGTAGTTGGTTCAAAGCTGGCATCCCCGGCCTGCTAACTCACATACCTACTGTCTTATCCACTGGTATCCATGATTCAAACACAGTAAGACCTGGCAATTGTGGGGGCAAGGGAGATACATGCCTGGCTGAGGATGGCTTGGTCCACCCTATCTAGTGGTATTGTGAACTTCAAAAGAACATAGGTATATTGAAAGCTGCCTTGTTGGTGGTGCGTATCTGCACTACTGACAACAGCTCTCTGGGGTATCAGCCTTGCCTGGAGATGCCAGGATTTGAACCTGGGATGTTCTACATGCAGAGGAGATACCATGCCACTCAGCTACAGTTGTTCCCTGAACCCCAACTAACAAACCACTCCTAACATACATGACTAAAGCACTCTGTTATGTCTCTCACAATATTCCTCGCTAAATCCTTTCAGTGCCACCGTTTCTTTCCTAAATGCCAGACTTGGAAGTATAGGCTTCCCCTCCCTTCCCTCCTGCTTCTTTCTGACGTGCAACCAAAATATTATGAATATATCAAAACAATGTGTTTCCCCTACTGCTAATCAAGCATACTTCTGCTATCTTTGAATAACACAACACAACACAAGTTTCTCATTTTAGACTGTGTCTATTCATTCTCTTTATAAACATGCACTAAGGAGAAAACTATTTTCTGAACATATGGCCGTTGTCTCTGTTTTGGACGGAAAAACGTCTGGCATTTTGCTGACATCACTGCATTGTGAGTCATTAGGAAGCTCTATATAAACAGCGAGGTATTTTCATCAATTAGAAATAGCTGAAATATTTTTAATGCCGTCTATTAAAAAGGTACAGTGATTTATTATTGCTCTAACACTTATTCCTTGGGGGGGTCTTGGTGCAGTTTCTTGGGATTGGTATGTGCTGTGATGGGTCAAGTGCAACCTTCCCCAGATTGGTGCCTCCCAGGTATTCTGGACCCCATATTTTGATTATCTTAGGGACAGCTCAGTCGGTAGAGCATGAGACTCTTAACCTCTGGGCTGTGGGTTCGAACCCCACATTGGGTGAAATGTTCCTCCATTGCAGAGAGTGGGACTAGATGATACTCATGGTCCCTTCTAACGATTCTAACGCCCATCAGTTGTGGAAATTGTACTTCAAGACAGCTAGAGGGAACCAGGATTTAGAAAGATGGTCTAGTGTCAGGAGATTAGACTTCCCCCATTGCACTTCCTAGTGTTGCAGAGGGACTTCTACTATAGCTTGCTATAGTTTAGTGGTGGATGCCAGGTACTAAATGAAATCCACACACAGCACCTCAAAATGAGGGCCAGATTTGCATGTCACTATGCGTGTGGCGCGAGCCTCCATCCATGGTTGAGAGGCATGTACCCAACATACTTTTCTATACTTGGATCCCAGTCGATCAAGGGAAGCTTATGCTGAAGCCTGCCTTTTTTGTATTACCCTTACTAGATCAGGGTAAGAACACAAAAAGTGCCCCATTGGATTTGGCCAAAGGCACATCAAGTCTGGCAACCTGTTTCCACAATGGCCTACTAGATACCTATGGGAAGCCTGCAAACAGGGTGGTTGAGATTACTGATACTCCAGATGAGTCTGATAGATAGTAATCAGTATTTTGTAGGGTGAGACTTTTGTTCATACACAGTCATACCTCAGAAGTCGAACGGAATCTGTTCTGGAAGTCTGTTCGACTTCTGCAATGTTTGGAAACCAAAGCATGGCTTCTGATTGGCTGCAGGAAGCTCCTGCAGCCAATCGGAAACAGCAGAAGCCCCATTGGACGTTCGGTTTCCAAAAGAATGTTCGAGGTACAACTGCATGACTGCTTGCTTCCACTGGTGTTCTGATATTATTACTGCTACTGTTAGTAGTGGTGTTAAAAATAGATACTGTTTGGGTTGTTGCTAGATGAATGGCGTTTTAAACAAATGAAGAAATAATGAGGTGCATAATTGGCATAAAGGCTATAATTTTGGAAGCAAGGGATATCCTACGTGGTAAGAGATGGTTGGCAGTCCTCCTCCAGATCAAAACATTGTTCTTGGAGCTGTGCTTGTCACAGAGGTTGACTTCCTCTCTGCATGTTGTTTTTGCTTTAATACTTTTGCCTACCCTTTGTGATTACTTTGTCGCAGTATTTGTGGAGGACAGCTTTCTTGCATTACTGCTGTTTTCCCTGAAATTAGGCTCCTAGAATCAGTTCACCATTGTATTACCCTAATTGTTATTTTGGAAGGAACCTGGGTACGTTTTGTACGGTACTTGCTTAAAATGCCAGAAGGAAGGATAATGGCAATCTATTAATTAATTCCTCCGCCCCCACCCCCAAAAGAACCCTCACAGAATTTAAAAAAAATATGAAAATGTATGAACAGCCTCCCAATATCAATGCTGGCAGTGGGGTTCACAATAGCAGTTTGTGCGGAAAATGGAAAAAAATAAAAATAAAACTCCCTCTCCAAATGTAGGATACTACTTTCTTTTTATGCTAATTAAGCATGACTTCACTCTCAGCACAATCAAGACTATTCAAAGTTTCACAAAGACCCGTCAAAGGAGATGATGAGCAAAAAGCAATGTTGGTATTTACTTTAAGAACATCCTGGCTTGGTCTTCCACCCAACAATTTCATTTGATCCTTTGCATTGGCAGAAATGCCCTGTCATCATTAAAACCGTCTCTGTGATTACATTAGACGCATCCCGCCCCCCCGCTCCCCATTCTGTTTATTGCTAAGCTGAAGAGGGACTCAAATGTACAATGCAAACTTTCAGCTTGGGATAAAAATATGTATTACCAAGGGCAACATATTCCAATTTGGGCAATAAGGAAGTCAAAATGAAAGGTTTGGTGGATCATCAGGGCGCTGCGTCATTCTCCCTGACGGCCTCATTTAGGTGGAACTAAACTGTAATGGATTATCAAGCCAGACATGGCACAGGCGAATCATAAAAGATTGGCCGGCCACTCACTTTTGTGGGATGGGTGCTTCAAGTCAAGTGCTATGCACTTTACACTACAGGTGAAGACAATTGCTTTGCCTATAGACCAGCCTTCTCCAACCAGATGCCCCCACCCAGATGTTTTGGGCTGCAGTTCCCAGCAGCCATAGCCAGCATGGCTAATGACCAGGAATGATGAGAGTTGTAGGCCAAAACATCTGGAGGGCATCTTGTTGGGAAAGGCTTGCTTAGTTTACAGAGGTGGAGAGCAAGCAACTAAGCTTCTGAGGGCAGTGCAACTACCAATAGTGCTCCCTCTGCTGATCTTAACTCCCAAAAGGATTTGTAGAGAATAAGGCAGCCTTTCAGGTCTTTGAGGCTTGTCTCCATCCACTAGACTCCAGCCTGGTGGATCTCATGGGTATAGCACAAAACCAAGCAGGTCCTGAAAGTCTAAAGCCCCTCATCTAGTTGAGCGTTTTGTCTTCAGCAGTCACCAGGCAGACCCATGTAGGCCATGAATGATGGTGTAGTCATTTCCTCTTGCTTTATCCTGGCATCTGGTAATTTATGTATATATTGCTTCTTGACACTGAGCTTTTATAGTTTTAACTTGATTTAATACTTGGATGTCACTTTTCCAGCAACCGAGTTCAGCACAAAGAGGCTCTCAAGCATAGCAAAGCATTAAAAGAATAGTATTTCCAGAAATCTCCTCCTCCTCCTCCTCTTCAATAGTCACTGAGTATTTCAATTGCAGACCTGAGAGCAATGAACGACAATAACAATAAAAATATATAGAAAAATAAATAAAACAAAATGCAAAAATAACAGACTCCATAAAACTAAGCGCAGTAAATAACATAAGCAAATTAAAGGTAAGGGTAAAGCGACCCCTGACAATTAAGTCCAGTCGCGAATGACTCGGGGGTTGCAGCACTCATCTCGCTTTAAAGGCCAAGGGAGCTGCCATTTGTCTGCTTCCGCAGACAGTTTTTCCGGGTCATGTGGGCCAGCATTACTTCTGGTGAGCCAGAGCAACACATGGAAATGCCGTTTACCTTCCTTCCGGGACTGGTACCTATTTATCTACTTGCACTGCATGCTTTTGAACTGCTAGGTTGGCAGGAGCTGGGACCGAACAATGGGAGCTAACCCCATTGCAGGGATTTGAACTGCCGACCTTTTGCTCGGCAAGCCCAAGTGGCACAGTGGTTTAACCCACAGTGCCACCCGCATCCCTATAAGCAAATTAACAACAAACAAAAGTAAATAACAATGAGGGCAACAGTTATAATTTAATCGAACACCCAAGTAAACAAAACAGGACACCCATCCAACTAAAACAATCAAATGACCTTAGCAGAACTTCTCACCATATCTAACTATAGTAAAAGCACAGTGGAATATTAATAAAGCAAAAACAAATGACGCAGTCAGCAATTCATAGAGTTCAATATACTTTTTAAAAGTTGCAACATTGATCAGAAATGTCTGCTGAGCAATAGCTTGATGTTGGTTGATGAAGTTCATCTTGGGCTTCCCACTCAGTGCTGCAACAGAGTCCTAGACAGCAGTGGGACTAATTTGGTCCGCATCCAACTCACTGTTGTACTTATTTTTCAACTGCTCCATACCTGTGATGGCCACTAACTTGGATGGCTTTAGAAAAGGATTATACAAGTTCTTGGAGGGAAAGGCCATCAGTGACTACTAGCCTTGATGGCTATGCTCTGTCTCCAGTCTATGCTTCTGGACATTGGTTGCTGGGAACCACAGGAGGGGAGAGTGATCTTGTGCTGAGGTCCTGCTTGCAGGTTTCCTACAGGTATCTGATTGGACACTGTGAGAACAGGATGCTGGACTAAATGGGCCATTGGGCTGATCCAGCAGGCTCTTCTCATGTTAACCTACAACCCATCAGGGACATGATATCACCTGACCACTCATGTAAGCTGATGTTTCACAGCTTGCACCCAGAAAGAGAAGCTCTGGGTCGTTGATCCGGGATAACACATCTCCAGGAATGACCTCGGTATCCGTGGATTGTGTAAACAAGCCCACAGTGGAGTTTGGCAAGACATCTGAAGAGGAAGGTAGGACATGGAAAAACATGTTATTTCTGTGAAGTCTTTTATATCCCTTGACTCAGGCAGGCGATTTTGCTATTTAGCTCTGTCTGAAAGCAAAAAATCCTAACACTCCCAAGAAAGAATGCCGAAGAGCGTTTTGGATTCCAGGAATAAGAAAAGACGCAACGTTGAAGCTGTTGAGATCTGTCACTTCTTCGTGATCACTGTGAAGTTTTTAGTCCCTGCAGGACTGAACCTGTAAATCTTAAAGCAGTCTGAGGGGCTAACAACATGTGACCTGCAGGTTGAAGCTGGATCTTTTTTTTATCTTTGTCTATTTTATGGAAGGTACAGGTGGGTGTGTCCTCATCTGGCAGCTCATGTTGCTTCACAGACTGATGTTTTAACCTCAGTTGAGGTAGGTTTCACAGGGGTGTGGTGTTGCTGAGGGGGAACCGATCTGATGTCTCTTAAGCTGTGAAATTCTGCAGTTTCAAGGGGTAAGTGGATCTTACCTCATTTCCAAATATGTCATTCAAAGAAACAAGCTGATAACAAAAGAAAGATCAAAATGGGAAGCAAATGGTCTTGGCACAGAAAGAGTCCCTTTTTTTGTTGCTTATTCAAAGGTTTATTGGCACTGATGACTTTAAAAAAAAGGAGGTTTGTTATGATGATAACACACTGTGTTGCTAGGCAGGCTTGTGAATTCTGTCTTCAGGTTTTTTTTTTAATGGTCAGAATGCTCAAGTTTGAACATAAAGACATTGTTCAGGGATACAGCACATGCCCATGCCCCCAGGATCAGAAAATGTAAGGCCCCACCTTTACATTTAAAGCAGTATCATACCACTTTGATAGCTCATGGCTTCCCTCAAAGAATCCAGGAAAATGTGGTTTGTTGAGGCTACTGAGAGTTGTTAGGAGACACCCCCCCTCACAGAGCCACAATGCTTAGAGTTCCCTGGGAAGAGACGTTGATTTTTAAACTACAGTGGTGCCTCGGGTTACAGATGCTTCAGGTTA